AAAGATAAGGATTATCTTTTTTTAATATTAAATTTTAAATAATCTCATGTTTATAAATAAAGGGATTTAAAAAAAAAATCACAAATAACAATTTTTATGACTAATAATGAATGTCAAAGAGTGTACTATTTTTCGCACACGATAGCCTATATTGAAGCTCCTTTCAGATTACAAATCCTCTGTTAAATTTTCAAATAGATTTTTTCGACGCAACTTTAATAATTTCGCTGTAATAACGAACAGCAGCGTATAAGTCGGTAATACACCACAATGAAGAATTCCTTTAACGTGAAAGTGCGAGCCAAACAAAGGATAGGTCATCCGCTACATCGAACAATAATTAATCTTCTGTGTGCATCGACAATTCATGCAAAACAAAAGAAAGGAAAAAAAAATACTGCGAATCCGAGCACACATAGTTCCTCGTTGGACAGACATTGTTATTCCGCAATTTATTCCTTCGGTTTTGCACGGTTGTTGTTTCGAGCGATCGATTTTGCGTTTTACCATCGTAAAAAGCTACTCAGTTATCTGATTACGTTCCATTAACTCTGGGAGATTTGTCTTTCATAAAAATTTATTTTTTTAATAGAGATTGCAAACTTAAGATCTCTATAAAATCGTACAAATTGGACGATTGAAATATTATAAAGATTAAAAAAAATTATATTATATTATATTATATCAAATATAATATAATATTATATTATATAGAGATTTAAAAAAATATTATATGAAATATTATATTAAAAATGTTATATTATATTATATTTTATAATAAATATTTTATTATATTATAAAAAAATGTAATGTTATATTAAATAATAGAAATATTATATTATATTAATCTACTTTATGTCTATTGTTCTTACTTTCTAGAATATAAATAACCTTTATAATAATAAATAATCTCTTGAGCTCGTTTTAATTTTCGCCTTAAAAATAATGTTAAATTTAGATAAAAGTTTTTTTAAAAACTCTTTTAAATATATAAACTTTATCAAATTAAATTTTCTAGACCTGTTTGTGGAATCATATCTTTTTCCGCTACTTTCATGAAGATTAACTGAGAAAAGTTTTGTCTATCCAGCCCAATGCGACGTGAAACTTTGCAGTTTATATGATTTTGCTAACTGCAAGAGATAGTACACGGTATATCTTTGTGTAATTATCACACGTCATTTTTGTGCCAGAATGTCAGGGGTGGTACACGCCGCTTGCATATTTCACCAGGATTTATTCCGTCGCCAAAGAAAACTTGACGCCGGGAGTCTTGTATTATTTTGCGTGCTGTTTTTTTCTTTATCACAGGGTCGGGTCGGATAAAGGTGTGGAGGCCCTGGGGCAACAAAGAGGTGGAAACTCCTAACCATTTTTCATACCAAAATCAAATAGGAATTTTTACGTTGTTTAAATAATTTATTGCGAAATAACAAGGTCAAGCAATATACATAGACTAGGGTTGCACAAGACCCAAGACAAAACAATATTCATAAAAATATTGTATTGATATTGAAAATTTTCAAAAATTTAAATCTTGTCTTGGTCTTGAGTGAATATTGGTAGCAAAAATCTCGTCTTATATTGTCTTGTCTCGATTTTATTAACAATTTTTTATCTAATATTAAAAAATTATTTAAATAATATTTAACATAATTTTTGTAATATAATTTGAAATCATTATTACTATTGTATTATATTTTAATTATAATTATTATTATGTAATCGATATAAATGCCGTCTATTTACATAAAAAAAACATTTACTGCTTCATGGAAAACAGAAATTAATAACTATTTACAGGCTCCAAGGGAATGTGCAGATATAAATATTTTGGAGTAGTAAAAAAATCTGGTTTATATTTATCCCACATTGTCACAAAAATGGCTCGAGACATTTTAAGTTCAACTGCCTCGTCCGTGCCAGTAGAAAGATTTTTCTCAATAGGAACTCTGACTATGTCAAAAAATAGAACCAGATTACAAAGTAAATCTTTAAAAGTACTAATGTGCATCAATTTCTGGATAAAATGCTCTTTAATGTCTAAAATTTGCGAGTTTGATTTCTAATTTATAAAAATTATAAATCATATTATATTGTATTAATATTAAATATTTTTAAATTTATGAATATAAATGTTTTTATTGAATAAAATTTTTTTAAATTCGTATATAGTGATTTTTTTCATTTACAAATATAAATATTTTAGTTTGTTTGAGAACCAATAATCTTGACAAGACTAATAATCTTGACAGTCTTAATCTTGGTATTGTCTTGATAACTAATTAAAAAACTTGTCTTGATCTTGTCTTGAAATTCAAGATAAGACAAGACTAATCTTGGTATCTCGTGCAACCCTAACATAGACCTTGTAAGGGTTGTATACCATTCGATAAGAAATTTTACCCAAAAATTTGTGTGGAAACCCGCCTCTTGGGGAGGCCCCTGGGCTTCAGCCCCTGTTGCCCTCCCCTAAATTCGGCCCTGGTCAAATATAAATCATTCGTGACTCTTTATCTATTTTTCGATTATTTAAATATAATTCAGATTGAGATCATGCAGTAAAACGAAAATCGAAAATATAAATATCGTAAATATAAATATATATTTAATATAATGAAATTATATATATTTAATAATTATATATATAATTATTAAATATATAATAATTATATATATTTAACATAATGAAAATGATCCTTTAATAAATAATCATATAATTAATTTATATCATTTAAAATCTAAATTTCTATACTTTAAAATATTTCGCGTATATATTTGTCAAAATACGTAAAATATGTCGAACAGACAATAACACAATGTTTGGCCTTGACGGCGTGTACAATAGCGCGCTAATGTTTACATTCTGCGGTCTTGGTATCATTTACACGGTGACACTCGAGCAAAATAGTGGTGCGAATCGATACTCTTCGTATATTATTGAATTTATTATTATTTATTATTAATACGATTATCATGATTTTCAATTAAATTAATTTTTTGATTTTATAATTTCGCGTATATATTTGTCAAAGTACGTAAAATATTTCGAACAGACAATAACACAATGTTTGGCCTTAATGGCGTATACAATAGAGCGCTAATGTTTACACTCGGCGGTCTTGGTATCATTCACACGGCGACACTCGAGCAAGATAGTAGTGAAACGATACTCTTTGTATATTATCGAATTTATTATTATTTATTATAAATAATTAATTATTATTATTATTTATTATTAATAATCGATTATCATGATTTTTAATTAGATTAATCTTTCGATTTTATAATTCGTGTTAATATAATATTAATAAAACGGAGCATTTGTAATGAGTAAAGCATGAATTTGAAACTTTATATAAATATCGAACGAAAATAGTATTTCTCTCGTGTCTTCTGTTTCTTACGATATGTTAAAAAGTGCGTTTCTCATGTAATTATTCCGCGATCGGGAGTGTCGTGCAAAGTGTCTCGCGATTGTTCCATATATAATTTATTATTATTTTTTCGGAAGTGAGTGTGAGTGCTACGAAGAAATAGCAAAGGATGAAAAAGAGAGAAAAGGGAGAAAAGCTTCGAACAACGAAATATAAAATGTAAGTCATTTATAAATCTATAAATTATTTAAGGTGAATTAGATTTCAATTTTCCTTTATTAAAGAAAATCGTCGTGTACCTAATCTTTTATTCAATAATATTCATATAAGTAGACATTACAATGAGAAAAAATTTTTTATTTCAACTAAATGCTTACATATTTATTTCGTACATGACGTAAAAATCGGAAGTGCTATAATGAGTCAGATTACATTATTGAATGATGTAATCAATCCCACACACAAATTATACAAAATTATATATAATATTATATAATATTATATATAATATAAATTTCTCTCTCTCTTTTTCATATCTACAGGGTGGCCCCGAACGTTCCAGCCAGACTTTGAGATCTTAGGAAATTTAATTCTGAACAAAAAATTTCCTATTAACATGGGTTGAAAAATGCTTCCTTAAGAAGTTATCGCTCAAAAACCTCTGATGAAGGAAGAGCAAAAGGTGAAAAGAAAATGAAATAAAAAGAAAATGAAACTGAATAAATTTCTTGAAAAAAAACGATAAAAATAAAAAATAAAAATCTTTTTCTTTTATGAAAATAAAATATTTTTTTTTTTAACTAATATTTTAGTAATAGCACGTAATAATAGAAAATGAATAAAGACGTTTTTCAAGCAATTTATTTAGTTTCATTTTCTTTTTATTTCACGTGCTTCGTGCTCCGTCAAGTGATTCGGTCCGAATTGGTTAGAACTCGATCGATTGTTCGGAATGGTCGTCAATGGGTCCCTTTTCTTTGCTCGTCTACAGCCACACTAAAATGGGATTTTCGTTCGTACCGAAACCGGGAGTGTCGTTCAAAGTATATACATATTAAGTATATACATCGCGCGATTAAATAGAAAATTTTTTTATCGTACCGAAATAGTGCGAAAGCGTTTAGTATCGCGCGTAAAAGTGCGAAAATAGCGATAAAAATATCGCTCGTGAGTGCGAGAGTACCGTAAAGTATCGCGCGTCCACAAACAGAGAGGAGGAGGAGGCCTAGGAGAGGCATCGGGCTCCGGCAGAACAACCTTCTGGTAAGTAATTTATTTATTTGTAATTGTATATTAAATATTAAATATATTTATTATAATTTAAATTAAACAATTAATCGCGTAATTTGATTTTTTATTTATATAATTTAAATAAGAGAGAATTTTGAAGAAAAAGATTTTTATATAAAATCTATAATCTTATAAAATTAGCTATATTTAAGCATTTATAAAGTATTAGAGAATTATTAGTAATGTTTCTTTTCTAAAATTTATAGAATTATTTGTAGAATTATTAATCTGCTATTATTATATGTATCGAATGTAAAATTCAATACATGTAACAATTTTTGAAATATTAATTATTTGGATGTTATTACAATTTAAATCTTCTATTTGTTATAGATCAACTTAACAATTCTAATGATCTGAGAGGAGGCGCAGGCCTAGGAAAGGCATCCTGCATGGCGGAACCTGATGGTGAGTACCATTTATATTATTTATTTATATTAATTATTATATCGCGTACACATACTAATTTGAGTCATTTATTTGAATGATGAAACAAGAAAGATTAAAAAAAAAGGTTGTATGTAAATAATCCTATAAAACTTTCTATTTAAAAAAATAGGTTTTTCAGAATTTAAAAAATTATTGCATATTTATTTATTTGTTTATTATTGCACATATCGGATATAAAATTCGATGCGTGCAATAATAATTAAATATAATGAAAGATTAATTATTTTAAGAGCTGCTAATTATATGAATTTTATATTTGTATGTTGCAGACAACGTAGCTTCAATATTGACAACTCCGCTGTTGTGCATCAGTGTCGGTGAGTGAAAAACTTTTATTTAATTTTAAGGTAACGGATTTGTGTAGAGCTTGTAGATGTAGATTATAGATTGTAGATTGTTGGTCCGTTACCTTAAAATGGATGGGCTAGAATAAATTAAATCATATAATTTTTTAAAGTTTTTTTTTTTAATATACATTAAAGCTGTTAAAATTAAAATATTAATTAAAGAAAAATTTCATTTTTTTATTAATTTTACATTATAATCAATTATTTATTTTATTTAAAATAAATAATATACATAAATACAAAATATAAAGAACATACTAGTAATTTTATTTTTTCATACTATATAATAATTTACTTTTATAAATGCATACTGAAATTATTTTAATTTCTTATAGTCCATCATTTTTATGCAGTGTAACATATTAAAAAACTTTGCTTTAATTGATATAAATCTAAGTAAGTTATCTATTGAACCATATGTAATGTTTAAAAAGATCAATGAATGATACTATAGAGTGAAAATATAGTAGAAAATGTATAAATAATGTGGAATTAATTTATTTTATCGTAAATCTTTGTTATAAATTTATTATAAATAATATTATATATTGTTAAAAATTGCAATCATTTAATTTTGATTAACTTGACACTATATAGCATTATATTAATTAAAGCAAAGTTATATTAAGTCGATAACAAACGGTCATAATATTACGACTAAATGAGCGTAAAATTATGCTCATGTACCGGTAAAAATAAGTAGCCGGCAACGGAAGGAGTTTTTCTCTTTCAGTAACCTATGATACAGGTCAAAGCTACTTTATCCTTGACTAAAAATAGCCAAATACCTGGATATTCGAAAAGTAATCTAATCTAAAAACGTGCAATGGCACATAATAAACGCGTAAATTAAACGGATAAAATAAACGGGTACGCATAAAATAAATAATAACATATAAAAATAAACTCAGAAACTCGCGAAAAATAAAGAAACACTGCGTTCGTGTAATAAAATCCTAATTAGGGCATATCCCCCAAATTTCAAAAAATTGCATATGTCCGCTAGTTTAATTTGCAGAGCAATTAGGGCTGTTAGAATCATTGAAACTATTAGGATCGTTAAAGTCATTAGGATCCCTTAGTAGGTTTGTTAGATAGGTTGTTATGATCATTAGAAGGTAGTATTATGAGGTTGTTATGAAGGTAGTTAGGAATTAATTTTGTGTTGTACACTTTTCATGTAATAGGACATTTTCGTGTAATTCTATATACATATATGAAACGATATTTTGTGTATTAACCCAGGTAGCAGAGTGACGTCAAATAAATGACATCTTAATAATTTTAATGACGTCATTGTACGTCATTAAAATAGAGAAAAGTGGCTTCAGTGATTAAACATCTTTTATCAAAGCCGGATTTAAAGATGTGGAGGCATCTTAAGCCAAAATCAAATAGAAATTTTTACGTTGTTTAAATAATTTATTGCGAAATAACAAAGTCGCCATCGTTGGTACAAACTACAGTTACTTTAATGTTACTGGCAAATTTAGAAAACGCAAACAGGATCACTACGCAATGGAAATGTTATCTAGCGCATGTTCTAAAATTCCGAATAGCCTTATCAAGTTTTCTTTTGTAAAATAAAAGTTTTGTAAAATATGAATTTTTTCGACATACTCCCTCACGAAAACATGGGACATCATTAATGATCGATGTATATCACATAACAAACTTGTATATAAGTATCAGCCTTGAACATTACATATTCTTAGCAAGAATAAAATCCAAGAATGTACATGTCTGTAAATTTTTATATATCTATAGAATATAACGAATGTTTATGGTAATCAGAGAGAGAGAATTTTTGTAAGAAATAATATTTTGTTTATATAAATTTTCCCTCCTGTTTTGCACAAATTGAAAGAAAATAAAATTTAACGTTAAAATGATCAAATGTAAGTGAAAAACATGTTCTAAAGTCATTAAATTTATGTAATATTGAAATGCACGTGTCATGTATCATATAAAACAGTCGATAAATAAACATTGAAAAAATAAATTCATACCATTATTTACAACTCACAATTAATAATCTATCAAAGAGAAGGATAATTTTTATGGCTTCTCCTTCTCTAATAAAATTTTATTTCAGATTAATAATGAGAATAGGAGCTTTGCAGTAGAGAGTCTTGGCTCCGAACTGTCTGACCTGGAATACTACTGGAGGCAAGTCCTCGGTGTTTTACAACAGAAAGCGCCAATGCAATACTCATAGACTAGATACGAGGATTAAGCCCGCATAAATAAGACAAGTTTTCGTCTTTTAAAAATGTATCATCTCATGCATTAACCTCATGAAAGAAATAATGTACTTACCGTAGTTTAACGTTTATTCCTTTACAGTCGAAAAGAAAGTCGTGAAAAATTTTAATAAAAAAATTGCACGGAAGGAAATATTCTCTTCATTCGAAAAGAAAAGCTATGAGTCTTCTAGAATTCAGCAACATAAGTTGCAAAAATTCTTTATTAGAAAAATCAACAAATATATTATAAATATACAATTTATATATATTTATATATAAATTTCATATATATTTATAAATATAAATATATATTTATATTGATAAGTTTCATATATATTTATAAATTTAAAATTTTATTATTTTTATAAATTTGAAATTCTTTCATTTCTTTATTAGAAAAATTTTTATAAATTTAAAATTCTATTCAAAATTTATGATTTTTAATTAATATCAAAAAATCTCTGCTTTTAAAAATGAGGATTTATGTAATAAATATATATACTTTTATTATATCTTGTATACTTTTTACATAAATAATAAATTTAATAAGAAACTTGAGTACGTGTGTGCGCGCGCGTTATTCAATCCTAAAGCTAAAAAGATTAGTAAAAGGAAAGAAATTCGCAGAAAATTCTCGGAAAAAAGGGAATATATTGATGCACAACAAAAAGAAATGACAAGTATCAGTTTGATCGAAACCTCGAAACTTTATACAACTGCACATGAAAGCGGCAAATTCGCCAATTTGCGATTTTGTTATACACACATACACACACATAGGGGAAATTTAAAACGAGCATTCGCGTACGCTCGCAAACAAAATATTTGGCTCAATGAATAAAATTTGATCCGTTTAATTTACAAATTATACCCTTAAAATAAATTCGCAAACTCGTTAACGGGAAAACAACGTTATTCAGTAATAGTATTGTATTGTAAAAACATTCTCCAAATTTATTATGGGGAGTGCCAATGAAATAAATTTTTTCTTGTATAAATTAAGAACATTAAATAATTTAAAAATGTAATAACTAAAAATGTACCATTAATTATAATTATTAATACTATTAATTTTCGAACAGTTTCATATTAAATTAGAATTTTTTATTATATATATTTTATTATATATATTTAATTTTTATTTAAATTTTTATTTAAACAACTATTTTTTTGAATGCTTTTAAAGAGATTTGATCATCGAATTAAAACGGGATAAATAAAAAGCGAAAAAGGGAATACGTTTTACAAATATTTAATTCTCCGAGGAAGAAAATGCACGATAGCAACACAGAATAATAGTCCGAGGAAGGTCGCGATACGGGTCGTGACCGAGAAAGCGTTACGAGTGGCCTAATTTGAAATAAATATTGTTTTGTTTGCATTAATATTTAATATAAAAGCTATTTTTATTTTTATACTCATGTGGTCCATTAAAAAGTAAATGTCACATTTAATCAATTAAAAATCAATTAATAAAATATTTCAGAAAAATACATCGTTATTGGACATATTTCGTTATGAAACTCGATAAATTCGCAAGCAATAAAATATTCGTTAAAATCAAATGACAGATTGCACAATCCGAACAAAGGTATTAAAAGCTTCCGTTGATTTAGCAAGGGTGATATTGTTGCCGTATTGGCTGCTTCAATAATAGCATTTTAGTTTCAGCTATAGAGTAGAATGCAGTGCGAATAACTGTGGTATACAGTCTATTCAATATAACGCAATCCGATAAAAGCGTTGTTGCATGCAATCTGTTCGTTTTATCTGTTGGTTTTATTTGGTATTTTGAGTATATATTATATAGGATATTTTTAAAATTAATATACATAAAATTAGCATACATAGCTCAAAAATTCACGTGAACGTATAATAACTCACTCAAATGATAGGGATGTTAAATGTTTCGGAAATTTCAGATATTATTTAGAACAATTATTTCGGAAACATATTTGGTGTATTTTTTCTCCCAATAATAATATAAGTTATAACATTTACTTTTGTACGATTGCTTATTTTCATTGCATTATATTAGAAATTTAGTAAATGTTATAACTCGTATTATGATTGGGAGAAAAAATAAAAATTTAAAATTTAAAAATTTTACACAATTTTTGATATCTTTAATTTTATACAATTCCACAGATTTTTCAAAATTTTTCAATTAGTCGATATTCTATTTGGAGAAAAAAAATTGATTTAGATATTAATAAAAAAATCCCTGGTTATTTAAAATGAAATAATTAAAAGTTCAAGAACACTTGCGCGTTTTACAAATAACATATAATTACTACGTGTCTTTTGTTTCAAGATATACTATTGTGCAGCAGAGAGATATATAGACATTGCATTGCCTTCCAGAATGAAACCGTTCATCAAACAACTGAACAACTTTGTCCGAAGTCAACACTGTAAAATGTATCTGATAAATACAGTATTTTACGATGACGCATACATAAATCTCTCTCGCAGAATTTTGAATATCATAGTTAGAAAGTTAAATATCTTGTTTCTTTAACTTTAGAAAATGGAAAATGTTCGGAAAAATACATAGCATCATTAACTTCGAGAAACTTAATATCATTATTTTGCAGAAAAGTATCTTAAAATATACATTTTAAAGTTTGACTATTACTCCAAGAAAAAAAGACTGTATATCATCTTCACATGCCGCATTTCTTTATAAACACAGCTTAATCATTGCATTAAGATTGTTGTAATTAATTCGAGATTTTCTTGCTTTTAAATTAGCTTATATATTAGTCTGTCTCTGGCGAGGACAAACAATGCACAGGAAGTCACTTTGTAAGCGGATTAATGTTTAACGTTGAATCGCAACGAGACTACCTTGAATTTATTCGTCGCATGGTGCGAAATAACGCCGGCTAATTCAGTCGTCAGATTGCGAATTGGAAAACAAATTAAATCGCGCGTGTGCATGCGGTTGACTTTAATCAAATTAGAGTGAGTTAGTGGTAACATTCAGCACTTCGCGGATTTAATTACAATTTTGTGATGATTATTCCAAGCACGCTGCTTTTGACCGCCATTGTTTGTCGCGATGTTATTTTTTGTATGCTAAGAGAATTCTCTTCTCTTCTAATTCGAATTAATACAGTGTATTGTCGAAATGTACTCTTTATTTAGACGAATCGAATAGCATAAGGGATATAACTTGATATCCCCAAGATACAAAATTACAACAACTGAACGTCTCAAGACGAAGATTTCCTTTATCATGAAATATAATAACTCTATAGACGTACAATATCATCCACATTTTTTTAAATAATTGCACACAAGTGAAAATATACATTTTAATTAAAAAAAAAGAATATGTAAAATCCAACACAAAAGTTCATAAATAAATTGATCGTAATTAACTTTGCGAACAGTTAGTTTTCCTTCTTATTATCTTCTATTCGTCTTAAATCCATGTGAATTTTTGGATTAAAAGAAATAAATAAATTTTTAATAAAAACATGTTACTCTATTCGTTTTATTAAAATTTAACGAAAAATGTTAGCGGAGTAGTTAGCCGAAAGATACTTCCCTTTTTGGATTGCTTTGTAAATTACTTTACTTGCCCCGGAATAGTATTAGCAGGGTAGTAAACAAACATAAATTGGTTGCGAAATTCTGCCGGTAGTCTCAGATTGCATCGTGTCGCTTATTTTGCACGAAAGCACATTTATACCAACGATTTCGTTTTAATTGTATCTACCAAGTCCGACCTTAAACAAGTCTATTCTACTGGCAACGGAAAGTTTATTTCGCATGGACGTATGTCGGAGATCTAATCGATGGCATATTTATATCGCATAATATATATTCATAAACAATATTATCAATATAAGTTTAATAATTTATACATCAATAATTTTAATAATTTATCAATAATTTTAATAATTTATAAAAAATAATATCAATAATTTTAACAATTTATAAAAAATAATTTTAATTTTTTTGTAATAATTTATAAAAAATAATATCAATAATTTTAATAATTTTTTTCATTCATATATTTGCCATAACTCTGCGCGTAGAACACTATATTTATATTTATATTTATTGTTCAATTATACAAATTATTCTGCGTATAAGTTTATATTTTATAATGTATTGGGTTGTCCGGAAAGTTCGTGCGGATTTCTCAATAGATGTCGTTCAAAGGCGAATTTTACAAGTTTATGTCGATGTGATATGTCAAATGCTTTCGTGTTTTGATTAGTGACATTTCAACGCATACTTAGTGATATTAATTATCCCAATAAATTAAAAACTTTTTACTTGACATTAGTTTAGAGATGGAAGGAAATAACGTGTTTTTTCGATGCATAATGCTTTTTTATTTCCGTAAAGGAAAGAACGCGACACAAACTCGAAAAAAAATATGTGCCGTATACGGGGAAGATGCCGTAAGTGATCGCATGTGTCAGAAGTGGTTTGCTAAATTTCGTTCAGGAGAAATGAATATTAAAGATGCTCCTCGCTCTGGTCGGCCAGTCACCACTGATGTCGACCAAATAACAGCTTTAATCGATTCCGAGCGGCAGATCACAGTTCGGGAAATCGCAGCGAGGTTAAACATTGGCAAATCAACTGTTTCCGAACATTTAAACAAGCTCCAGATGGTAAAAAAGCTTGATGTTTGGGTGCCGCACGACTTAATTGAGAAAAATCGTATTGACCGCATTTTCATCAGCGATTTGCTATACAAACGCAATGAATACGATTCATTTTTAAAACGCATCATAACAGGCGACGAAAAGTGGATAATTTATAATAATGTCGAGCGTAAAAGGTCGTGGAGCAAGCGAGGTGAACCGCCATTAACCACTTCGAAGGCAGGCTTACATCCGAAAAAGGTAATGCTCTGCATTTGGTGGAATTGGAAGGGGATAGTATATTATGAGCTACTACCGGACAACGAAACCATCGATTCGGACAAGTACTGTTCACAGTTGGATAAATTGAAGATAGAAATCGCCAAAAAGTGTCCGGAATTGATCAATAGGAAAGGCGTCGTTTTTCATCATGATAACGCCAGACCTCATGCAAGTTTGCAGACTCGCCAAAAATTATTGGCGTTTGGCTGGGATGTTTTGCCTCATCCACCGTATTCCCCCGACATTGCACCCTCGGATTTTCATTTATTTCGGTCGCTACAAAACTCAATTAATGGTTTGAACTTTGCTTCTTTGCAACTCCTCAAAAACTACTTGGACAGCTTCTTCGCCGAAAAAACCCAAGACTTCTATGAGAGAGGAATTATGAAATTACCTGAAAGATGGAAAAGTATTGTGCAAAATAATGGTGCATATATCACAGAATGAAATAACTTTTAACAACAAAATTTTTTCATTCGAATTTTGCTTAAAAATCCGCACGGACTTTCCGGACAACCCAATACATTTGCAATTTTACATAAATCGTTAATTCATGTTTGATTTCGTGTTTGTCGGAAACGTTAGAGAGTCTTGGATCCTTGGAGAGTGCTTTAATTTGTACTTGCAGTGCTGCTCTAACAACTTCTATGATTTTGTATCAACGTAATTCAAGAGCTAATTAACACAACAACATGCTTTGCAATTATGTTGCCCGTTGTTTGCAAAGTTCGCAAGCACAAGGAAGTTAATATAATTTGCTAAATGAAATAAATAATCAGGGCGATCAAATCGATCACGTCGATTACGAGAATCTAAAATTTACTAGCAGTTAAATATAATGGAATAACGTATCAATGTATAATTAACGTGTTATTAAAACTTTGATTGTATTCTAATTATCGTAATAAATTGCGATTTAAATTAATAATCGGCGAGCAGGCGGATCTTATCAATAAAATATAATTTTATAATATAATATAATTTTAGCAGTTTATAAATTCCGATAAAAATATAAATGTGTGAACAAGCTTGACGTTTCGTTTAATTATCAGGAAAAATGTACTCTCGCCATATGTGACACGTTTATTTTGCAAGAAATATTATGAAATAATGTACGTATCACTAGGTATTAACGTTACGAAGACTACTATTTCATCGCATAAGAATTTCAACTTTCCTTCACAATCGAATCCATTAAATCCTACTCCAGAGTTTGGACCGAGAGGAAGAAAATTTGCGATAAAAGTCGCACTCGGGGGTATGTTAATCGATTGCTTACTTGCTCATCGTATGAATCGCTCGATTTAATCCTGATCGGTTTCTGATAATGCCCGAGTTATTCGGAACACTCATAGCACGTTCTTCTGGTGTTTCGTTTTTCGATCGAATCTCTTGTCATGATCGATATTATCACAAAGAATTTCTTGTAAATTTAAAGAAAAAATATCCTATAAAATTTGTCATTAATATTATTAACAATTTCAAATATTTTATGACTTCGATATTTAATAGCAAAATTTAATTAATAATAGCAACAGTTATTATTATCATCAGAAATTTTATTATAAATTGTTAAGGATATATTTATCGGCATAAAGTTGCTTATAAATCGTTGAATTAAAATTATACAAATCCATTTGAATAATTTCTTTTGAAAATCCATTCGAAATTTTATTCTAAATATAGCAAAAACTATTTTAAAAATAAAAATACAATTAGAATAGTTTTATTACACTTTAACTTTATTTTTCGCGAATTCACAGTTTTTTAATTTTATCGAAATGTGTTTTTGTTCAAATAGGCAAAATTCTGTAGGCCAAAAATAATTTCTGTATGTAATTAGCAATCGTGAGTTTGCGGAAACATAGTTAATTTTTTTGCCCTCCAGAGGGTTTGGCAAAACCAAAATGTTCCCAGACTCATTTCATTAGTATAAATTTCGGTTGTAATATTTGAAAGTTGAACCGAGTTTACGTCATCTCAAGTAAAACAATTAATACACCCTCAATTGCCTACGCGTTTTCCTATTAATCAAAAGCTATTATTAGTCTTATACAATGGCATTATTTTATTGTTAATACAAAGAATTTTTTACAATAGAATATTACACACAACTAAAGGTCGTTTTAAACAATCTATATAAAAATCTGTAATGAAATTTCTTTTTATAAATCCAAATATTTATAAAAAATTTATATATTTTGATACGTACCTTTTTTGTATATGTGTACATTTTTAGATTTATTAAATGATTTATAAAATAGAAAATTATAGACAATTATGTTTTACAAAACAAAAAAATTGTAGATAAATTTCTGTTTCGTTCGAACTCTGTTGCAGATAGAATCATTTAAAATTGACTCGTGCAAACAAGAAGCACGAAGAAATGCTCAAGCGAAAGCAATTAGGAAGGATCTTATATCGAGATATAATAATTCAGAGCAAAACGGTCGAAATGAGCGTTTTCCGATGCTCATATTTAGCTCGTTATTGCCGAAAAGATCACCGAGCGGAGGAAAGCGAGGGCGTAAAAAAAAAGATATCGCACGTATTAATGAGATATTTAACGGCGAACTAACTAAATAACATTTTCGCCGCACGAACTGACGATATTAAAATTCCATCGAATTTCGATAACGGCTCAATGTTGCAAAATTTATTGCGCGAATCGGGAACGTCTCTTTCGTCTCATTAGAATTCCATAAGTCGATAACACAAGCCTGTGAGATTTTTCTTTTTAAGATGCAATAGTAATTTCCGACGTAATTTTGTGAGTTGAATTCGAATCTGGCCGCCGAATTTGCGTAACACGTCACGTTTTTGAGTAATTTGTAATTGAATAGCTCAAAAATCGCTATTTTGGCCAATTTCATGAATTTATTGCGAGAAAACCAAATTTCTTGAAATATTTCTGCCAATGGCATCGTATAATACTCACTTTCGCCTTTCAAATCCACTTTCGATTACCGCCGCACGATTTTTCTTCGCTGAGATATATAAGTATGACGTTGTAAGAAAATTTACGTTAAAGAAAATTTATATAGACATTAATATGGTAGATCCATGATGATGTTGAAAGTTGAAAAGACTGACATATGTCAGGTTCGGTTGTCCAAAAAAGTATTGTAAAGAAATATCTAATACAGTTGTTACACATTTTGATAAATTTTTCTAAATTTTATGCCTTTTTATTGTGATTCTATTCGCCATATTGGATGCGCCATTTTTAATTTCAAAAGGTGACAGAAGGTTTAAAAATGTATATTTTTATCCTAATTTTGATTCATAGTGAAATAAAGAGGTGGCACGGTTGATTTAGAATGGCTTATTAGATCCCTATGCATGACCAGTCTTATGATTTGTATATCTGAGCGAAAAAAAATCGTGCGACGGGGTAATCGAAAGTGGATTCGAAAGATGAAGGTGAGTACTATACGATGCTATTGACAGAAATATTTCAAAAAATTTGGTTTACTCATAATAAATTCATGAAATTGGCCAAAATAGCGATTTTTGAGTCATTCAATTACAAATAACTCAAAAACCTGACGTGCTACGCAAATTTGACGGCCAGATTCGGATTCAGCGCACAAAATTACATCAAAAATCACCATAGCATCTTAAAAAGAAATTTTTACCCCCTTTTTTGCAGGCCTGTATAATCTATCACCGAGTCGCTCTATCCCTATTTCGCGCGATCGTCGCGAAAACGAAAGACCCGAGAAGGGAAGGGCTCACGAGACCAGAGAAAATGCTTTCGTTATCTCACCAGGGAAACCGAAATCGATATCTTGCAGGCGAGAGTACATGGTACCCCAGAGACGCATCTGTTGCAGTGGCAAGCTGTGACAATCGTGGTCAGTTTCAATATTGCATTCTATTGTATTTTCTTGTATTACTCACTCTTGTTAGTCTTACAAAAGCGCAATTTACCGAGGCTACAAAAGTATACTTTTGTTTGACTTAGGGGGTAAGGAAAGTATCGGAAAGTGTGCGTGGGAGATAAATGATAAGGCGTTTTTATTAAACTACGATGTGACGTAAAATGAGATATTGATTAATGTAGATATATTATCTACACAAAGATAAATTATGATTATAAAGGGGAAACAAAATGCATATAATGTATTAGATAATAGAGAAGCGTCTCTTTTATTACACTATATTTTACAATAAAAGTTCGCAAACATATCTGTAATTACGATAAAATTCTATCGTTGCATTTTTATACAATTACTATTAAAATAAATAAAAAGATTTTTTTATTTTAAAAATTATAATAATTAGAAAATTATAATAATTAGAATATTTATAATTGTATGTGCATGCAATAATTTTGAAGAAAAGATTAATTGATACAAAAAACATTTTGTATTTCTGTTAAATTTTTCTAGTGTAAAAATATTCGTGTTAAATTTTTTTTTAACATACTTTTATGTTACATATTAATGTAACATATTCTCATTGTCTTATTTTGACATTTCTGCGTTGAGTTAATATTCATTGTTTCTAAGAGTTAAAACAACACAATTATATAAATTATATAATATGTAAATGCACGAATTTTTGATGAAATATGTATATGTTAAAATGAACAGACAAGTTATGTTATTTCTCTCTATAACAGTTTCCATATGTTAAGTCGACATATCTCTTCTGTTATTTATCATAAAAATGTAAGAATAACATTTTATTTTAATTAAATTTAACATTATAAATATGTTAATTTAACATAAACTTTATTTCCAGATAAAGTTTAAGCGTTACTTTTGTGTTAATTTTTAAACATATTACTTGTGTTATTTATTTACATACTTGCTTTCTATTAAATTAACATTAAGGATAGAGTGGATTAGAGTGGATAAATTGGAACATGTGAAATATGTTAAATTTAACACAAAATTTTTTACTGTGCAATAAAAGTTCGCAAACGAATCCGTAACGATCCGTTACGATAAAATGCTATCGTTACATTTTTATACAATTATTATTAAAATAAATAAAAAGATTTTTATAAATAATACGACATTGAATTTCACTCTCGCAATAATTTAGAAAATTAGAATAATTAGAATATTTATAATTATATGTGCATGCAATAATTTTGAAGAAAATATTAATTGATATCATATGTTTTAAAATTCACATTGTACCTTGGCTTTATAAGAATCTTAACATCAGAAAAGAGAAGTTATATCCTCTGGTTACAATATCGAAACTGATATTTTTACAGTAAAACGTAGCAATGCTATTAAGTTAGCTTTTCCCTCTTCTCAGTATCGTATTGTTCAGTTTCTGGATAAAAGCCAGAGCCGAATTACTCACTGACTCAAATAAATTTTTGATGTGTCCTCCCATTTTTGATCTATCCTTTCTATCAATTTTGTCTTCTAAATTTATCAATGTTTAAATATTACGTACGAATTACTCAAGTTTTATATAAAATT